TATCGCCCCGTGTTAATGGTCCGTTACACAGCACAGCTTGAAAGACGTGGATGTGGGGGCACATGTACCACTCATGGATCTCGGCCCCTCGGAGACTTCAGAGATGCATGGCTAAATGTAGGCAGAGACGTGCATTTTTCATTGTGAAGCCTTGCGTGGTGTGCAGGGATTGTGCAGCTTAGCCAGGCTGTGTTTTGCATACGGATGCATCCGGAATCACTTGTATTCAGAGCTGCCACAGTGTGAAGTGTTTACTGTTACTGTGCAGCACTTACGCAGTTTTGCGCTGTCAGGCTCAGCGGAGCAGAAACGGTTTAGGCTAGAGGTGGCTTGGACATGAACAAAGCTGTCCAGATTACATTACAGAAGCAGGACAGGAGCTTTTGTGCTCTGCGCTTAGAGTGGGTAATACCCAGCATCATTAAATACTACCTGGGTAATGCGCATTTGAAGTGTCAGGTTCTATAATGATTAAACTAAACAGATTTATGGAACAGTTGTACATTTTTCTCTTTACCCCAATCAGCCAAGGCATCTGTAGTTTTAACACTGGAGGCTAATGAAGCTAACGAGTAGTACAAGCGTATACCCCACCAATTAGCATTCCGCAGACTGCATGCCTCAATTGTTGAACGTTTGCCTCAAATTGCATTGAGTTGTTAAAGGTGGATGCCGGCCTACAACTAGAATTTAATATATTACTTAGAATATTAATATTCTGTAACACATCATGCAGCCTCATTATTATGATTGAATGCATGATTTTCTATCCTTTTTGTGCTTTCGTGTGTTCTCTCAATACACAGCAGGCATTAAGCAAATACGAAATAAAACCATTGGGACTCACTCCTGTGTGTTCATAATAATAACAAAAAATACAGATGTGACATTTGGTTTCTTAGCAATATTGTTAGCTAACCTCTTTCTGTATGCATTCACCACCCACTGAAGGAGAAAAACAAACAAAACTCTCATGAATCTGGCCCAAAGTACTGGTAGTCCCTCCCACCTTCAAGACATCAGAAAGGGTTTTTACTTGTGGCTGGAACATCACACTCTAGAGCAGGGGTGCTCAGTCCTGCTCCCGGAGATCTACCACCCTGCTGAGTTGATCTCCAACCCAAATCTAGCACACCTGACCCAGGTAAGGAAGGTCTTCGGGGGGTCTGAACATCTGAACTCTCCAGGATGGTAGATCTCCAAGATCAGGAATGAGCATCCCTGCTCTAGAGGTGGCTGTGGCCCTACTGTGAGGCCAGTTGGTCATAGTTTTTGGCCAGAGTGTCCCTCTACACAATCTCAAGTAGAATTGCTTATGTCTTTGGAAGACCAGCTACATTTGGGATAAAAGGAAACTACATTTGTTTCTTGGCCAAACTGTTCCTTCGGTAATCAACATTGGTGATATTTGCAGCTTATGCTCTGTATAAGCTCTGCAAAGCTCTGCAATCTCTGTGTCTTTGAGCCTGTCTCTATTCTCAGAGCCTGTCACTCTTTCATGTAGCTGTATCATTGTGTGGTACAGAGAAGTGTGAGTCCCGTATATGGAGATATTTAATCCAGTTTAGAGAAAACATTGCCAAGAGCTTGTGTAGCTGGCAACCGCTGGACCAGAGAAGAGAGAAAGAGAGTGAGTTAGAGAGAGAGAGACATCTATTAAGCTGCGGATATGGAGCATAGCCAGAGGATACGGAGATACCACCATGACAGGCTCATATCGAACTCAGCAGGCATCTCCCCCAGAGTGCTTTATAGGCAGGAATGTCCGATTGCATATGTATGTGCTTCCGTGGTGTGTAGCCTAAAGTGCACTTGGTACATTTAAAGACTCTGTGATTTGAGACCATCGCAGTGCTGATGTTGCCTAATAATTGGCCACGAAAGAGTTGGAAGCGTGTTGCTCCTTTCAAACTCACCGAGATCTAGGTGCAAGGAGCAGCATGCCTCGAAAACCTGAACGGTTTGATGAATCTTTACAATGTAAGTTTAATTAAGGTACCATCATTAAGAGTTTGGAACCAGTCTTGATAGGTTTGGTCCTTATGACTTCCATTAATCATGCCGTTGCTCCTCTCATACTCAGAGAATTGGAGGTACACTGCTCCTTTCAAACTCGCAGAGATCTAGATGTTAGAACCAGTGTGCTTCGATAACCTGGACAGTTTAAAGAATCTTTGGAACATGGGTTTAGTTGAAGTACCATCATTAAGATTGCAGCCAGTCTTGATAGGATCGGTCCTCATGACTTCCATTAATCTTGCTTGAACTCATTGAATTCTTAGAATTCAGAACACTGACCAGTTGCACACAGAGGAAGTTGACATCTGCATTTAACCATTTGTGCAGTGAAACCCACATACACACTAGTGAATGCACACACTAGGGGGCAGTGGGCAGCCCTATCTATGGCACCCAGGGAGAAAACCAGGCTGGTCCCCTAACCTCCAGCCCACGACTGCCTCTATTGTTAACTTCAACTGCAGAGGGATGGAGATACGATGCCCTTTTTAAATTCAGAGGGTTGTAGGTATGTCACTCTTTTCAAACTAGGAAGGTTGTATGTAGGTATTTTCCTCTTTTCAAACTCAGGAAGTTATATTCTTTTTCTCAGAAGGTCATACGCATGTTGTTCCTTTCAAAGTCAGGGCTGTAGGTAAGTTGTTCTTTTGAAGTGTAGCAGGTCATAGGTAAGTTTCTTTGAAACTCACATAGTTTTAGATATGTTGTTATTATCAAATGGAGAGGGTTGTCAGTATGTTTTTTTCAAACCCAGAAATTGTATGTATTTCCTTCTTTTCAAACTCAGGGCTTTAAATAAGTTGTTCTTTTCAAGCACAGAAGGTTGTAGGTATATCCTTCATCCCCAACCCAGCAGGTTATAGGTAAGTTGTTCTTTTGAAGCTCAGAAGGCTGTAGGTATGTTGTTCTTTTCACACTGAGAGGGTCAGAGTTATGTAGCATTATTCAGAGTCAGAGGGCTTTCAGTTCAGAGTCAGAAGGTTGAAGGTACATTGTTCCCATCAAACTCATGGAGGTCAAGATGCAAGAAGCAGCAGTCTTCATTAACCTGAAGAGTTCCATGAAGCTTTGGAGTGGGTTTAATTAAGCAGTGAGGAAGTGTCCTTGAGGTTTTGCAGTCACAGTTGACAGTTTTGGCCCTAATGAGTTCTATGAGTCATGTCTGAATTCTGTAAAAAAATGTAGGATTGAGCAGAGCGAGGTAGTTTGCTTGCATGGACACATGCACACGTACTGTAAGGCTCTCCTTGCCATGACTCGGTGAAAATAACCAAATTGGGTATCCGTCCACGGATTCCACTCTGCCTCAGGCTCCATCTCAGTGGGACCCGTTCAAAGGCCTGCTTTAATGCAGTGGTAAAGAGACAGCAGCTCATCCTCTCTCACAATGCAGAAGATTTTCTGAAATGCTTATCCAACACAATCTGAGCCAAGTTGTAGCGACTGGAAGTAATTATGTAGTGAAAGCCCCCTACAAGAGTTTGCCAAAGTGGAGTTCGGAGGTTGTACAAGATAGAGGCTTAAATGGTGTTAAAGGATGTCTGGTGGGATTTGACAGTGGTGTGTTTCAGAGAGAAAAATTAGCTTGCATCTGTGTAATCTTTCTAATCGTAATTGTCAAGTCAACATGTTGAGGCTGGCAGCAGAGAACGCAGAGAAAATGAGGATACTGCATGGAAAACAAGGCAGCGGGACAAATAGGAAATAAGGATTTATTTTTTTCATAAAATTGAAAAACACCTGTTTCAGTCTGATGCCATCTGGATGTTTTTGTCATTGTGATGAAACTCAGTCCCTGTGCCATGCTACAGTTTTTCATCACTTCATTATAAATACAAATATTGAGTCTCAAAATAACTGGCAGGAATCCAATTAAAGGGAAGTAGATGATTCCCAGCAGAGACTCGATACACAGCCGAGAGCCACGGCTCCCCGTTCGCACACACACCGCACTATGTGGAAGCTTAAGGATCTGCGAGCTCTGCTGATTAGCAGTGAAGTGTAATTAAGTCCAGCAGTGACCTCAGTGGTGATTCTGCGTTTATCTGTGATTGCAGGTTGAGCCGCCGGACGGAGAGGCACAGGGAGCGCTCCAGAGGTGCTACGGATGACTACGGAGGGAGAGAGAGGGGGAAGACAGATAGAGAGAGAGAGCAAGCAAGAAAGTGAGAGCTACAGAATGCAAAGAGTGAAGTAACGAGAGAGAGAGGAGGGCAGGAAGGAAGACATACGGGGGAGAGTTACAAAATCCAAACAGAGAGGCAGAGATAGAGAGGGGGAAGGAGAGAGAGAGAGACAGAAAAACGAGAGGGAGGGGGGGACTGGCTGTCAATGAGTGCTGAGCACCAGGAGAATGCCGAGATGCAGCGATGGAGGGAAGAAATGAAAAGAAAAGTCATTCAGGAGAGGGGATGAGACCGAGAGTCTCTCGCAGAGGACAGGAAAGAAAGGGTACGTCTTTTTGGCCTCTGCTCCCGACCCGGTGAACCATGCCGAGGAGCAGCTCAAAGAGGTCGTCGCTGCTCATCCTCAGGGTGTGTGTGTGTGTGTATGTGTGTTCCAAGCTTGTGAAACTCGTGGGCAGCGCAGATGATCACACACACGTGGCGCAGGAGGGAGGACTCGATCCGGCGCCTCGGAGGGCAGCAAGAAAGGACGACTTATCATCAACATCATCACACACAGAAACCTTTCACAGTTCAAAGGCTGCCTGGAGAGAGCGGGACACTTTGAAGAAAGTGTGGCGGGACACTTTGAACAACGAGAGAATAACGAATAACGAGGCATCCTTGGCTCCAGCAGGGCCTCTGTGGGAAAGGATTGCACCCACGGATCAGGATCCCTCACAAGCCACAGAGATTAGAGTGAGCGTCTCGGAAAACGCTGGGACTGCAGTTTCCTCGCTCAAAGGCAACATAAACCCAAACCCTTCTGCTCTAATCACAACAACCAGCTCTATATCCAGTGCCACAGATACCCTTCAATCCTTGAATAGTGGTGCTGGACTGGGTGCTGGCCTTCAAGAGGCTCAAAGTGCCACTCACGGAAGTGGTATAGTTTTTCAGGAGTTCCCGGGAGATTCCCCAGGAGGGGGACTGGGCCTTGCTGGGATGGAGCCCCGCTCTAGGTCCAGGAGGAGCTGGATCTGGAACCAGTTTTTCGTGATTGAAGAGTACAGTGGGCCGGAGCCGGTCTTGATTGGTCGGGTAAGAGTCACACCAGGCATGTAACTTACATGAATTCACAAATGCAAACACTACAAGCTACGCTAAATTGATGTCATGTGTTCTAGAACGTGTCACATGAAACTTCACAATGCAATGCAAGAGCAAGCTCCGTTCTAGGCATTTCAGAAAGGGGTGCAATAGTGTGGATTACCATATGCAAAGGTTGGACAAAAAAGACAAAGACTGTACTCAAACTGCCATGTTTGTATAATGTCTATTGCACTAATCCAATACATACTATGTAGTGCATATTACACTTTCATAAAAAAGGTACTAGGGTACAAATCACTGGAGTGGTACCCTCAAGGGTATGTCTTAGTACCTTTAGTAGGGGAATGCAATAGTGCCGTGTTCCAAGCCCTGCTTGACTCCAGGCTTTATTTGTATAATTAAAAATAAATTATAGTTAAAGTTTAAAAAGGTGCAAGGGGTGCAATGCTTCTTACTAGCATCTGGGTGCAGCCTACTAGAGTTAAGTGGTTGGGAAAGGGGAGGGGGACATATTATGCATGAACTCACTCATATTTGGACCCTTAAGGACTATTGTTGTACTTTTGAGTGTACGTTTACATCTGAGGACAAATACATACCTGTACAGTACTCTTTTTCAGGGAGTGTACTGCTATAGAGTGTGCAGTAAATATGCAGGAACTTCATCTCTGATGAGTGCGGGAGTAAATGATGTACTGAAATTCTACTACATTACTCTTATTAGGTGAGAGAAACCGTTTTAACAGAGAAACTGCTTGTATGCATGGTAAAATTTTTGGATCTTTCAGTTTCAAAGTGTATTTTGGTACTGCTGGCTGATGTTAAGCATACAGCCATTAAATCATTACTTATTAGCTAGCTGTTCATTCACACGGCCCAAATCTCCGTTATGTAGCCAATGCTGGTCCATATCACATGACTGAATCTGAAATTGCTTCCTACACAGTTAGAAATAAAGGTTCTGTGCAGGTACATTTTTCATTCATCAAGGTACAAACAGTGTAAATGTTCCCTCAATGGTACAACAGTGGTTTAAGGTCCAATTATGTACCCTAAATAAGTTTTTCCAGGTGAAAAGTTCATATTTGTACCTTTTCATAACCGAATGTTTTAAAACAGAACAGTAAAATAAAAGCCTGGAGACGAGACGGGGTGTGTGGAGTCAGTACAGCTTAGAAAACACAATGTCAATGGATTATGGTAGAGTTAGGTTCCCTGACTAAAGGTCCTGAGATGTACCCTTGAGGGTACCACCCCAGTGACAAGAGCGGAACTGCCCCAGTGACAGTTTCGTACCTTTTTTCCTGAGAGTGTACTCCCTGGGTAGTGCACTATATAGATCATAAAATAATGGCTTCTACACCCAAATAGACAGCCATGTATATTCAGCCGTAAGCTGTGTGACTCCCTAACATTTAGAGCACTATTTGTGGACAGGAGCCAGTTTCCTGACCTATGCAGTGCACTATGCAGGGAGTAGCCAGCTATTTGAGATTTGAGGGTTTCTAAAAATGTTATGCACTTCAGTGTCCTCCATGTAAGAAAACGCAAGACATGATAGCTACTTGGCCTTTTGACCACTCTGTATCATCGCATCCGGAGCTGAGAGTGAGCGTCTGACAGCCCGGCTTTGAGAGTGCTTTACTGCGGCGCTGCAGTTAGACCTTTCTCCATTCAGCAGACACATAATCCATCTTCGAGGTATTCTGTTCTCTTCTTTTGTAAAGCAGGATACAATCCTCAACTGTCAATGTGCTCATATTCATTGTTGTTTTGGCTGTTAGAATAATAACATCTCCAGTTTTATAGACTCACTGGTTTGTATTCTAGTGCCCCACTAAGCACTGAGGTTTATAACATAATGCTTGTTGACAGTGGGACCATGAGCTTGCAGTGTGTTGTGCAGGTCTTGTCGAATGCATTTGCTTATTTATATGGTTTCCGCATGAGAAGTGAGCCGAGAACAGGATTGTTTTGTGGTTTGTCGTATTGGTAGATTTAAAGGATAGTGTGCTTTTTGACGTTTGCTGCTTTGCACTAAAGTTACGGGGCTAATGTCGCTAACAAGTATTGGGAGCTTATACCTCACCATTTAGCATGGTGCTCACTGCATGTTGAAGTCACTACATGGTCACCTTAAACTGTGTGGAGATATTTAGTGATCTCTGATAGATTTCATAATGTGGTGCCGTATGTACACCGTTATCTATGAAAGTGGACAAAAGTACAGACCAAAAACCATGACAGCTGCTAAAGTTTTTAGCTACTTTGCGTGGAATTGCTGTAAATTTACAGTAAAGACGCTGTAATCCTCTTACTGCACTCTGTAAATGTAGCAGATTGTTGTGAAATGGTGCATTCTGTGGGAAACAGGTCAGGCCTCTTGTCCAAAAGCTGAAATTAAGGATTTTACAGTGATCACAGTTCATGGCATACTGGGAAATCATGAGCCTGTTTCTGAATGTTGTAGTGAAGCGGTGGTGCCTCCCATCTCCTCCTACGAAGACAAGTTTGAATAGATTTGACATGTTTTGGTATTCCAACCATAGTGGTGTTCTGTGCTTTAGTGTGCTAATTTCTCTCATAATGTTTTAATTAACCCTCTGGGGTCCACAAACTCGCCTGCATGTCAAATTCAATGTTTCTATATCTGTGTCTCTATCTTTGCGATAAACAGCGCAGAAATACGGTTCAAACATTTCCTGAATCTGTAGAGTCGCTCCTTCCATTTCATCTTATCATGAGATCATACGAGACTCACATCCGGAGTTATGAGCCTATGAAGAGGGGCTGAGACACACGTCTGTGGCATGCGCCTGTCACCTGGGCACCGATGATGGCTGCAAGAGCCGGCAGAGCCCAGAAAAAAACGTGAAGATAGCGGGGAGAGGATGAAATCTGCGAGGGAGTGGGGGACGGCGTGTGAGTCCTGAGCCCCAGGAGGCAGGGCTAGGGACTTGCATGTATTCCCCACTGTATTCGCAGGGTTTCTTTTGGGCTCGGAGTTTGGGCCCCGGATGCCTCTCACTGTGTGGAACTGGTGGATTCATGTGTCCGTCTACATTCTGTGTGAAACTGACCAATGGACACTCAGGAAATCACTAAGGACTGACCATCACATCAGAAACCCTTCATTCTTCGTTCAGTCCACATTGGAGACACATGTGAAACGGCGTGCAGAGGGAGGTCTCAGGACAGACAGCGCAGTGATGGGCAGGCCTGTTCAGCAAGCAGCACACACCAAACCGCATGAACTAGGTTGGTTCTCTCTGTCAGTGCGGCAGGAAACACACCGGGTTCGGGTTATCTACAGGACGCTCACTCACCACACGCCATCTGACATCACATCAGTGTCCTGTAAACAATGGAAACAGACTGGATCAGGAGCTGAGAGCTTTTACTGAACTGGGAAATCTGCTTTCAGCTGCTTTTACAGGAATCTCTAAAACTCCACTCGCTGGTGTCACTCCACCATTTTAAACTGGTGATCTCTAAACACCTCCACTCAGCCTGCAGCTGTCTTAGTTCATTTAGCTTTAGGGCTTTATTCGTTTTTTAGTTATTTGATTTCGTTTGATGTATTATTTTTGTTGTTTCGTCATTTTACTGTTTTTACTGTTTTTTTACATTTTACTGTTATTGTCCTGTTTCATTATTACTATTATTGTTTTCTATTTTATCTTTTTTCTTACAATTAATGTTTTATTAATTTATTGTTATTACTAATTACATTATAGTATTTGATTGTTTTGGTTTGTTAATCTTATTTATTTATGTACTGTTTTAATATTTTTGGTCGTATTTATTTATTTTGCTTTTTTTTTTACTATCTTAAATTTATATTTACTCTTTTTATTCCTTTTTGTTGCATAAAGCTCAGCTATGCTGTAAATAAGGGTTCACTGTTAATGGACTCAGACCTTAAATAAAGATTGATTGATTGATTGATTGATTGATTGATAACACAAGACCATTTCGGCCAACAAGACAATTACTTTTTGGCCAAAATTTCCAAAAAATTGCTTGGACATTTTCATTTGAAGTACGCTGCCAGATTAACAGTCTTCATGCCAGAAGCCAGATAGATTAGGCCTCGATCTTTACATGCACTTTGTAATGTGACCGAACCGAGGGTTCTCAGACAGCTGTGAGTCACAAGAGCTTTACATTAGAAATGCATGGAAAAAAACTGTGTTTTTCCTTGCCACTGTCGCCAAGGCTTGCTCACTGGGGACATGGACCCGGATTCTCTGTAAAGCTGCTTTGTGACAACATGTTGTAAAAGGCGCTATATAAATAAATTTGACTTGACTTTTCTAATACAGTCCGTTTTTATAGACGGCAGTCACGCAGCGTCAGAACCGCATGAGTAAGTCATTTAGGGTAAAAGGAAAATTGCACGAATTTGATTTCTCGCATAACTGTTCCTTTCACTCACCATGATAATCGAGTTACATCCCAATTGGCCCTCAAACACATAATCAATTTCATTCTAAGCTAATGAGGGCCGTCCTGTCAGTTCCACTCCAGCAGTCGCACTGCGGCTGTCAGGCAGAGGGAGCGCGCCGGGCGGAGAGAGGCTACATGCCTTGAGGAAACGTTTAGCAGCCTGCACACGCGATCAACACACACACACACACACAGAGACGCACTCAGAGACACACGTGTGCATGTATACACACTCTCACGCTCACCAACACGCTCGCTGGAGATGTTTGTACTGGCTGTACTACAGGCTGCATGGTCTGCAGGCGGGGATGCAGAAAACACTCTGAAGAGTTTGGGAAGGGGTACAGTACACACCTCATACATATTTTATACTGTAACTCTCCCTCCACACCCCCACCTCCCTCTGCCTGCTGCATAGCTAAGTCTCTAATTGAGTAAATATTTGTCCAGTGGGCCGAGCCGGGGGTCTGCGATTGTTGTTGTTTTTTTGGTAGTTGTTTTTGTTTTTGTTTTTGTTTTTGTTATGTCCGAAACCTCGG